GATATACAAGTTGGTATCATTAGAATACAAACGTGCTTTCTCTAACTTTTTAGTAGAAATTCTCACATCATTTTCTCTCTACATTTTGGTATAATATTTGTATCACACGGTCTTACAGGAAAAAGCTAAATATCCGTACAAACATATTTAAAATCAACGGGATTTTTATGATGTTTCTAAATTCAATTGTTTTATAAAAAAGTAACAAAGAAAAAGTTTTATGAATAAAATTCTAGACAATAAGCTACTATATTTTTTCTGCAATTCTGTCGAAATTATAATTAAAATATAATCAATCAATATATATAAAAAAACGTAATTATTCGCTATCTGTACATAGAAGATTTATAAGAAAAACTATTATAGAGAGGTTTTATGAACGCTATAGAACTCAAAACAATGATTTTTAGAAATTTTGTCTGATTGTCTGTACCTTTGTGTACGCTAATCTCAGAAATATCTTAATCAATTTGAATGTGGTTTTAACCAATGCGTTGCGATTTGCTTCACATAACATTCAGTGTTTGTTTTGCTCCAATCGGTTCATAAATAAAACAAATATATTAATCTAAAGAATCACATATAAAAAGCTATAAAATAAGTAGGTAGTACATCATATTTTATTTTAGGATGTTTTATATACCGATTCTCACGAGCAGCGCCGCGGGATACACCTAGTAGAAAATATAAATAGTCATCAAGTAAGAAATTCTCATATTATACTTTTCCTATATATTACATGATACTCGTATCATAGAAATAAGGTAAATGAAATAATACAGAAGATACGTACAAGTAATATATATTTTTTGTGAAATGTCTAAAATTAAAGGAAAATCATGAAAATGTAACAAGGAAAAAGTTTCGAGAGCGAAATCTCGACATTTTAAAGAATCAGCTAAGTATTACCTTTTTTTTTGTAATATTATAGAAAATTTTGTTACCAGGTTATGTTCCAGTTAGAAACTTTTGAAAAAGATGCTATTTTCAATCACCTAGGTTCTTTTATGATATAGGCTTAGACTAACAAAGTTCCTTATGAAATTCTAACTAGATCGGAAGACAATGGATTCAAGAAAACACCTACTAGTTTAATAAGTAATTAAAACTTCTATTATAACATAATGTATACCCAGTTACCGTATTTTTCTAAAGTCGACCTGGCTAGCGGCAGAATCTCAGTAGCTTTCGTTGGAGCGAATTGTTATAACCAGACATGACAGACTAAAAACTAAAGACTGAGCTGAGAGAAGAGTTCACTAAAGATTAGAATAACATCTTAGAGAATTTTATTTAGCTATCATCTATATCGTGAACTGGTGTTATTTTTTTTATTGGATGAAAATGGAATGGTAACCCCGCCTGCGCTAATGGGATACGCTGGCGGAGCACCAGTGAAGGGTGTTAGATGAGGATGAAAACAGGCCAGTTAGCCCATCATGATGAATTCATCAGGAATTAATCATGATAGTTTCCATGGGAAATCGCGAGGAAGTCGACCTGGTTGGATATATTGCTAGCAATGGGATTCTTAGTCCTCATTACTAACAATCCCTTTTCCCCCCTAACTGAACTGAACTGGTGTAGGGTTTATGTAATAACAAGGCCCTATTAGTAGAAGCATTGTTATTTATTTCACCCAATATACCTACTTACCTATGGTAGGGATTAGCTAACTAACGAGGTATATTAAGTACATAGATGATTACGAATACAATGGGAGTGAGCTTATCTTGTAATACGCTAATCAAATATTCATTTTCTTTGTATATACTCACAGTGACGTTTCCAATTATAGCGGCTGTCAGAACAGTGGATGCTATTATCATGTTTACGTGAACACAATAGAGGCTAAAATGTCGTATACTTCTTTGACGAGCAACATTATGTATTCTGCAATGCTGTTTAGACCCGTAAAGGAAAAGTTGTTAATAAATTGAACGAGGTAGTCTATTAGTTGCTATATACTTCATATCATTTTCTAGTACTGAAAAGGATAAATGACTATAATGGGTATATAATGTATAAAAGGAAGCAATTATTTTGATATATATTTACATATGTCATTTTAGAATAAGAGAAGAAAATTCCTTTTATATTTAACCGTATAACTTGCGAAATTACCTCATAATACAAGTATATGTTCAGAATTAAAAAAAATGTATTAAATTATATATATATAATTAAAGGAAGTTAATTAGAGAATGAAAGTTTGTATGGAGGATGCTGAAAAATTACATTCAGCGTAGGTATATAGTATCTAGAGAGGGACTATATCAGATCTTGGGGCCTACAATGAAAAATAATCAAAATATTATATACTAAATGATAAATTATGCAATTTACTTCGTATAACTTAAATCCAATAAATTTAGTTGAAGTCAATGACATATTAAACCTCAAATATATTATAATTTGATCGAACGAAATGGAAAGTCTGTAGTAACCGTACGAATCCCATGATATTTGTTTTAAGAAAAGTTAGAACTTTCGGTAGAAATTTGGGATTTGTTATTTTGTGGCTTTTGGTTCTAAACGTTGCAAGAGCTCGATCACATAGCATTATGTTATCGATGTTCCGTGTGCTTTGATGTGTATGTCAAGGATGTAATGATGAGGTTTTGGAACACAACTATTTGGCCAGTCTGCGGTTTGCGGCTGCATTGATTACGACGTCGATTGAATGGGCCAGCTTGTTTGCGTTAAGCACTTCATGTAGCCTTAGCTTTGTATTGGAATCTACGTCTAAATTGCTTTCATTAATACCAACTATTTATTCTTATAACTTGTTCTTTAATGTATATATTTTAATAAAAAAAACACCATATAAATATATTGTTTTCGATGAAGTTGTTTATGAACTGTACTATAGTGAAAAAAGTAAAATTATTTAAAAGAAACGAAAACATATCCATAGGTAACTAGTTTGTGCATTTTATCCAAAATTACTTTTGTCTTCAATCGTCAGACCGAAATATTATACATGTTTTTAAAAATTCAATTAAGCACGTATCCAGTGAACAATTTCGTTCATTATAAATTAACAATCAATCGGCGTTTCCTACACGCTCCCCTTGCTTTGACCAGGTCTCAAGGGAAATCTTCGCCCATTGGTATGGAGCACTATTAGGTACATTACTATACTGCACTTTACGTCTTGTATCCGGCTTATGGCTACTTTCCGCCTTCACATAATGTATCCGTGTTTACAGCGACGTTTTTACAAGAAATATACCTTTGGGTTCTAAGGCTGACACGATTTCGATTTCAATAGGCGCCTTTCAGCGCTGACTTATTTATTCGCGTCTGTCGTTCCGACGCGGGGGACGTGTCTGCGTTTCGTTTTAGGTAATTATGTCGATTTTATTTCATGGAAGTTTATTTTTTGTAAGAAAAGTAACAACCAATTCTGATAATTTTTCTTCTTTTGTAAGAAGTGAAGTCAGTGAAATTAGCTCGGATTAAAAATTGGTATTAGTAGATCATCATCATCATATCAGCCATTATCTGTTCACTGTTGAACATAAGCTGTCCCCATAGTCTGTCATAAGAAACAGTCTTGAGTCACTTGCGTCTACTGACTTGAGGCAATGCATTTGAGGTCGTCATTTCATCTACCACTAGACCCCCATGTAGTCTATATATAATTAAAATTTTGATATTCTTGTACAAACATTTTAGTTTACTTTCATTTCTGAAGCTAACACAGAACATTAAAATATTAGACTAGTATTTAATTTGTCATAGTATTCTATATAAGTAAGAATAAATGATTAAATGTGTTGCTAAGCGCAAAACTCGAGAACGACTAAATTAATTCAGATATTTTTACAAATATTCGTTGAGATCCTAACAACTGTAGACGGATTCTCATAATCCAATAGCTTTTCACAGAACATTGTCTGTTGGGTCAACTAGTTTATAAAATATAAATGTTGATAAAGATACAATGTATATTAAGCCCTCCTCCATTTCTTCATTAAAAAATAGTCAATGAACAATTTGCACCGCTAGTTGTACAATATGTTGTATTTAATTTGCACCGGCTCGTATAAACATTGAGACAATAGATCGCTCGGCACGTAATTGTTTCTGTTCCTCCCATCCTGTGACAATGGTGGTTCACACAAGCTGTTATATAACCTAGGCACAACGCTCTTTGGGGACGTGTTTTCCCGTAACGACGCTGCTTTAGACATCATTTTCATGCTCCGCAAAAGCATTCCCAAATGTCAACCGAATAAACCTCTTGAAGACCCCAAAAACATTGTCCACACTGCCCGCGTTTATAAAGGAAATGACAACAATGTATTAACATTCTGTGTATGACGTACTTCGTAAATGCACGCACTATTAACAGCTATCAGAAATGACGACATCGCGATTAGATCCTAATTGGAAATTCGATTGGATTGGTTTAATTAATTAATGTTCGATATAGCAAAGCGCTCCGATGCCACTGTTTGTGAGTTCTATTGTTTTGCAGTTCCACTATTGGCTATTGTAGTTAACATTGAATTAATCTATAAGCGTTCATATTATTCAATTAGGTATATATACTGTTAACCATAATAATAATTAAAACAAACAAGTGGATTAGATTGTTTCCTAAACATTACATAAAACCGGCTTTCTTTGAATGCTACAGACAGACTAATAACTATAATGGTTGTGAAGTAAATATTATTGTTTATTATTTAGAGTCATAATAACGGTAAGAACAATTTTAACTATATACATAATATGATTAAAATATTTTAATATTTATTTTTTGGTTGAAAACATCGTAGCATGGTTGAATATATCATTCTATATTCCAAATATGTATATAATAAAAATCTATGCTAAATACTACTAAACATCAAAATGATTAGATAAACTGTTAAGGCATTAATAGGTTAAGGCAACAACATAAATGCTCACTTTGATAGTTATATTAATAAAAAATAGTAAGGGTCGATAACAATTGCATTATAACTATAATTAAGGAATGTACTCACGTGATGTATAATGTCGGTGGCAGCGTAAAAACTCTCGTGCGGGTCAGGCCGTTTCATCATGTACGGCCGCGGAAATTCTGGGTCTTCACAGATCTCTAAGGACAAGAGAGAAATGTGTTAAATTTTAAATATAATTGATCCTGTAATACAAGTGCTGTTAATATAGCGTTATTGCTGAATTATAACGTAGTATAAATAATTATTGCTATAAATTATTTCTTAAATTTTTGTTCATGTATGTCACACATAAGACTATATTCAGATATTATATGAAAATTGACCAATTCTAGCGAAAGCAATGACGTCATATTGTCTAATCATTTTTTACCAGTATTTTGTTTGGTGATATGGTGGTGTATTTTTTCTGTCATTAAGCAACAAGTCAGTAAAAATTTAGAATTGCTACATTACGAGCATAAATGGAGAAACACTAAAGTGTACGCATAGTATTATAAAGTTTAAAAAGCAATGAATGGATACATCCTAAATAACGTGAATGCAGAAATAAAATTATTGAACCACATTAAAACATTTCAATTCATTTACGAATAATAGACATTATAGTCTGAATGGAAACGAAAATCTTATTGGAGTTAACTTAGGTTTACTATTTTCATGGGCATCGCTCAAAGATACCAGAAGCTGGGAACCATTATCGTGTGCTCAAGGCGCATCATCCTTTCAATATGGCGTCTGAACAATGGCCGCTCATCCGCCCGGACGTCCGGCCGCTGTAACGAGCGCGCCTCCTATCTACCAGTATTCTTTTCAAGGGTCTATAGGTCTATAATGTCATTTCTCCTGGATTTTAGTTGAGATTGGTTTTTTTAAGATTCTCTTTATTGAAATTGGAAATTTTTTCTTGTGGCTGTGTGTATTATTGTACACCTTGAAATTTTATATCATTTAAAAAACGTTTTAGAACGTCAGACATATACTAACACACATTTATTAATAATGCTATTTAGTAATATGAATTGAAAAAAAATATCAAACATATTGTTAAAATTAGTTTTTTGTTGACAGTTTTACATATAAGAAAAAAAAAATGCAATTAAAAGTTTTGTTACATATAAAAAAAGGAAGTAAAAACCAAATGTTAATGCATTTAACAGGCACGTATGAAATGGAGAGAATCTAATAAAAAAAGGTGTTTTGTATTACTGTAACCTTTTTTGTTTGATCGTCCAAATTAAACCTGCGCGATTGGCTCCGCGCTTACTTTTAGTTCACGATTAAAAATCAATATCGGAAAAACTTTTTGTACAGTTAGATGTTTGAGGAACTTTAAGTTAAAATAATTATGACTGTGCTTTTGATGTAATCCTTGTCTTATAAAGGTAAACAAACATTTTTTAAAGACAATTCATAAATACACCATAAATAATCGAGACTAAAGACGGAGATAGATTCTTTGTGACAGCTATTAATCATTTCACATGTAATACATATTTTATTTATTAATATAGGTATAATATATAGGGTCTTCAGTAAACGGAATCTGAGTGATCAGCAAAAAGTTTTACAATGTAGCTCTAACCTTAAACGTTCATTTAAAAATGGATATAATTTGTAATAGTAGCAATAAATTGATGTTGTGTAAAGATTAGCAAGTTGAAACGGGAACGGACCAGTCATATAAGTGGAAAAATTTACAAGAAAAGTCTGAAGTGATTCTTTGCTCAACATAAGTCAACCCAATCCAGCTATAAAGCAAGGCCTTGACCTACCTATATCTATATTATCTGTCCCCTGTAACATTTTCGATGCTTTTATATAGTTGAAGGTAACTGCTTATCTCCAAGTGAGTCGTATAGTTGCTAAACTCATGTTCAACTCAAGAAAATAATCTCTATTTTTTTTTAGAAACATATCCACCACCAACAGTTTCTTTAATGAAAGCCCTTTGTTAAATTCCATAAAAGCTATATCGCTGTAGTCAGTATTTGAATATTATGAAATATATTTAAAACTTGTCGTTTTCAAAAAGCGGGCTCGTTAAGGAATCATTAGGGCGTTTCGTTTCTAGCTATTCGAGTAAGAGCCGGGGGAAAGTAACAATCCACCAGCAAGCGTACTCGAAAACCTAACGAGTGCAGTGAAGGGGCGAGTCAAGTGTCGCGGACGAGCTAACTAGCGCCAGTCGGAAAAAACACGTTGCGGGCACAAATATAGTGTTGTAAGGTGTAAGTTACAAGCGAAAATAACAAATTCTATATTATTTATCGTGAGGTTATTTTTATACTTATTTATTTGCTGTGTTTATGAATAACTATTGTTTACAGAGAGCACTCCACTATTTCAGACACCGGACTAATAACAACATTAACTAAATATAAACTAAATTTCATTATGAAGTTGGTAAGCTTCGTCAGAAGCTTTTGTATACAATGGAGTTGCCTACAATTTCTGGGGAAAATAAAACGTGCGAGTATTGCGTTCTGAATGGTTGAAGAGGTAATAGAACGTATAGTAATAATTGTAAAAAAAGGCAATTTAATGTCAATCGCTCCACTTCAGGATTCGTTAATCATTTTTGATTGGCACAACAATTACTCATTATAAATTCCATTATAATCGGTATCCTATTAAAGTAACAAACTATAACAAACATTTAAATATCTCTTATTTATAATATTACTAAATTATTATGATGATGCATTTACAGAGAGTTATAATTGTCGGACATAAAGTAGAATTTATAAGAGCATTATATGTCATATTTAAAACACATGGGCTCGGGGTGCGGTCAGTTCGGAAGAGAAGAAGGCTTGGCCATGTTGTACGGAGTGATACTATTATTTGTATTGTGGTACAACTGTGTTCTACTATATAGCTGTTGGTCAATGTCCTGCCTGAATTTTGTAGCAACCGTATTACAAAACTTCGAAACACAAATTCGTGGTTGAATCGTGAGCCAATTCCCGAAGCAAGCTTATTGCTCGTACGGCGGCGTCGAAATATGAGTACTCGACTTCAGAAATATGAAATTTCAAAGTATTCCAGTTTATATTTAAATTCAAATATTTCAGACAGTTTGCAAGATAAATGGTTGATTATATATTTTAAAAAATGTCTGATTTAATAGGGTGGTCAGAGTCTTTACTGACCATTAATTATTTGATTAATAACCTATATTTTTAAACAGTTTCAAAAAGGAGGATATTGCCATTTATTCGGTTTTAAGTATGTAATGGGATATGTCGCTGATAAAATTCTGAATTGATTTTGATAATTCCTTTTGCTATTGTTGTTTACTTACACGTACATGTTAGTTTTTTAACAGTTTTTTAAATTAGTAGTTATCGGTATTAAGGTGACTATTTTTTTTGCAAAGAATTTGTGATATATGAGTAGGTATATCAGTCAAAAGAAATAAAAATTTTGAATGTTAATATAATTTACCACATTTCATCACATCTAAACATTAAATCGATTATTATCAAACGCACCTCCATAACCACCCTTACAAAAACAAATTACAAATAAAAAAGATTTTGATACCGCTAAATCCGTTTGGGATCTACGATGCCAAAGGTAGATACACAGGGGCACAAGTAGATACAATCTCGAAACTTATAAACAATTTAAGTAATGGTGAGATAGTAAATAGAAATCACTCGCCCACGAATATATAGTCTAAATATATTATTATACATACTGGAGTATAAATAATGTAATGAAGACTCGGTAATGATGGTGTACTAAATGCATTAAGTATACAATGCATGAATACAATTGGTATACTCAGTATAAGTGAAAGTAAATAATTATTTCAGTTGCACTGAGCATTAAAGTTAAACATTATTGCGACGAGGGATAGAACCCCTGTTTGCGGAGCAAAAAACCTATACTAGTTTGTTCATTTGTTGTATTGTTTACAATTAGGGTCAAGCCCCATGGATTAAGAATCCCTGACTTTATTGCACTTTTCTGCTTTTATCTGTTTGCCATTGTTTCATCTATTTTCGAGTTGGAACGTGCCCGCAGGTATTTTCGGATGTCGAATCACTGGTTTTCCGAGTAAATAAAGTAATTAAAGCAAATATGTAAACAGGGTAGGAACGTTCACTTGTGTGGTATTAACGGTACATTCGAACCAATTCCTAATCAATAAGAACGTGGCTTGTGTTTAATTTACAATTGTGAGTATATATTTCGTATCGGTAATCTGTCGTGATTCTCACTTCATTTTAAAAAGACGTGAATACGACTACGTCAAAACAATCTTTCTGTAATTTTTATTTTAATTGTCAGTTTATAGTCGCCATTTTTATTTTAAACTATTATTATTAGTAAATGAAAATTTCTATTTTTATTCGCACTTGTCTTAATTATGGGGATCTTATAAAATTATGGGTATGAAACGAAATAATTAACTTAAAGCAATATATAAACAAGGTAAAAATGTTTACGTATCCTGCCAGATACAACTAGATAAAAAAATAAGCAGTTACTTTAAGGTAAGGTACATATAAATGAGTTAAAATACTTACCGAAACTATGTAAAGATATAGTCATATTTCTACAAAAATTATGATAATATTTTAATATTTTAATGTTAATAAAAAAGTTGTAGCCGGTTAGAAATGAGTGTATTTGTGTGCATGTTGCTTATAAGTGTTTGATTCTTAGATCCGTTATAGTTTAATTGTATGTGTAATGCTGTGCTTTGTATATAAGTTTCATCATTCATATATTATTAAATCATATAAAATTATTAATATTATAAAAAAAATTAACTAACCATTATATTCGTTCTGATCGTGTGTATCCCGTTTATCACGTCGCCCCAGAGTTTCCCTCCAAATATTGTACGGCTCCCTGTAATCCTCGTCAACAACCGCCGGCCTGAAAACAAAGATTTTTTTAGCTAACATAAAAAGCGTATTAAAAGGTCTTCCTTTTTAAACCATACTAATTCAATTAAATCACGTACAGAATTTAGGTCTGATGACCAGTCTTTCCTTTTACGAAATTGAGCCTCCTAATATTTACCTATAAACAGCTTTAGGGATTTTCAACAAGCACAATTTTGTAGTTTTAACTAATGAAACTTTCATCGGCATTTTAACCTTCTATTACATTCATCGCTTAACATAGCTGCCTACATTTTTTTATATGTCAGTTGAATTCTTACCTGAGCATATGAATTGGTGGGCAGTTGGCAAGAGCTAGTGCCAATCTAGGAGCTCGGCGGTTATTCCTTGAATTAGAGTTTCCATGACGTAATGAAGGGCAGAATGGTTTCTTAAGCATGTTTGGAATTCGTCTTCGGGTCCGTTTTGCTAGAAGGACTGCCGTTGCTGCTATGAACGCCCCTCCACCCACTAAAGCTCCACAGGCCAGTCCTACGGAGACTCTAAGCGAAGAGTTTCGTTTTTTTCTAGAAGACGGTGGTGTATCAGTTCTGTAGTACTCTTCAAGAAACTCTGATGATGCGTTGATTGTTGTTGGAACTGTTAATAAGATATTACGTTATTAAAATAATAGAAGTCTCAAAAATCTTTCTCTAAATATTAATTTAAAAAAATGGGGAATATTGTTTACTAGAAAATAACAATTATAGTATGTTTGTTGATGCATATATTTACACGATATTATAATATTATCTATAACATTTCATTATTATTATAACTATATAGGATCAGCAGAGATATTTTAAATAAATTTATTAGAAATTAAATACAATATGACAATTAAATGTTACAGAAACCTGTCGGTTTATAGTACTGTGAATTTAATCAATGCGTATGCAACCTAAATTATAAAGAGTAAATTGATTTCTTTTACATTCTTAAATAGTATGCCCACAGGTAATTACAAAAAGAAACACTAATAACAACAGAGGTAATTTTTAGATCGTCTGAAAGCACCTTGATAACCAACCCAACGTATTGAATGAAGGCAAACAGCGCCCCGTCTAAGGCTAAGACAATGCAAGGAAATGAATAGGTGTCGAGCGCAGAACTAATTGTTGGGTCACAATGGAACGGAACTTAGCTAGACCCTGGAAGGTTTTGTATCTACAGCAATGGAAGCCACGGGAGACGGAGTCTTTATGACTTATTGTAGTATATCATTTGTGAGGTAATTTTTAAACTAAGAAGTATCAAAATATCGTAAACCTATAAAATCTATGTTTTTATACCAATCAAATGCATGTTAAAATAAACCTGAATTTAAAGAATAAGTGTCTTAGAGAGACTTAAGTTTTTTTGTGCCTACTTTCCATGCGGTGACAGAGTAAGAAGAGTTCTTTTATGCTCCAGCTGTCTTGATAACAATACTATAGAACGCATCTTCAGTGGTGGAATATTCTTGTATGGAGGTACTTATAGAATAGTTTTTTATGCACTATAAATTGCAGCAAGACTATAAGCAAACTTTTTTTTTAATAATATGAATATTATAAAATATATTATATCGCTTTTGGTAAATCCCTTGCGAAGCCAACCACATAAATGGAGAGCATGAAAGTTTAATTTGGAGGTAGCTGGTAGACTGACATAACAATGCTCTTGCATTCATGTCTATTAATTAAGGGAATGCTTATAATATGCGTAGCTCTATAATATCTAAGGAATTCTATGTATTATATAAGCTTATGTATTATGGATAACCATATAACAGTAGGTAAGTTTGAACAATGAGGCAACTGCATGTAATTAATTCATATGTTCTTCAAACGTCAAATCATTAATTGTCAAATGAACATTGTATTTTGTCGATGTAAAGCCGTATGTGTGTAATATTAAATTCTTGGCTTTGTGCATTTAAACCTATTATCATAGAAATTGGTTAGTCTAATATTGAATTGTCGGGTGTGGCAACAGTAACTCGGCGGAGAATCAGAGATTTATAAACAATATTTATTTTTGTTAGAAAGTCTTTTTTAAATATAGATAAAGTATCGTATCTTTTCTACCTTTAACTACACCTTTTCCGGTCTATGACAAGGGCAAATAAATATATAATTAAAGTAATTATTGACTATGAGATCCAACAATACACTAAAATAGCTGGAATTATAAAACACAAAGAGAAAATTACTTTGTCAACAGAGTCAGATAGCAAATTATAAGTCAAAGTCTGAAGTTTGATAACAAAGTGTCATTTTCAGTCATTAAAGTTTGAAGCCAAAACGAATGAAAATTTCCAAATAGGCCGAGTAGTTCAAACACGAGTGAAACTAGATTTGAGCTTAAAGGTGAATGGCGGAGTGCCAGTGTGATTGTCGCTAAGTGCCAAGAGTTAATTCTGTGCAAATTTCCCGTTGTGGGCGGAGGTAATGCGCTGTATATCAAATTGACAGATGAAACCACACCATTATGGAAAGTTAGATCAAAATTAAAGTCTCCATTCACGTTTATGTTATTGTTTCTTAATAATAGTATTAATGATCAATTATGAAAGATGACTTCATACAACTATAACGAATGTTGAGATGAATGTGTGGTATATCAAGAATGGATAAGATCAAGAGTATATAAGAGGAAGTTTATAAGTAGTGCCAATAATGGAGAAGACGAAAAGTAGTCGTGTGTCATGATATGGACATGTGATGCGTAGGGAAGAAGAGAATGTGGTAAGAAAGGTATTATGTATGAATATGGATAGTTATAAGTGTAGATGAAGATATAAAAAGAGACGAATGGACTGTGTAAAAGCTGACATGGACAAAAATGGAGTGATTAGTGAGATGATTGCAAAAAGATGTGAATGGAAGAAAAAACATTACAACGAGCTCGAATAGATATGGGGGAAAGGCAGGAGTTTAATATATAATATGTAAATAAGTGTTAAGTCGATAATACTATTATGACCAAAATACAACGACAGTCAGCATATTGGCACCATATACTCGTATATGCCACCTTAATTAGATACCTATTCCGGAAGCTAGAGATTTATCATTTTAGTTATTATACAATGTATCTTACGTACCTATTCTTTGTGAAATCACAAATACAAATAAAATATTATAATCAAGATTTACCTTTCTTGTTATGTGACAAACCCAGATAGGCAGACATTTGCATTAGCAAATATTAGTTAAAAGAGGGCGATAAAAATTATTTCAGCAATTGTTTTTCTGTAATTCCATACATAAATAGCAAAAGTATGGCGAATTATGTTTGTTTCTATTGTTTTTTTAGAGATTAATTCAAGCAAGTAAAAATGTTAATCAGTAATAATTTATTAAATGAATTAAAAAAATTAGAACGTTATCAATGCGGATATGACTAGAAATTAAATAGTCTAGTAACTAATAAGTTTCTCTTTTTATTTGACTTTTAACGATTCTGTTATCGAGTGAGCTACAACATTGCAAAAGTCGGGGATTCGTATCAAAATTAATGTGTTATCACATTGACATCGCAGAAATCGTGCAATAATTGCTAACAAATATTCATTTAATGTAATAAATAGCACGAATTATGACGTTTAGTGTATAAACTGCTATTATAAATGCATTTCTGTTTTTTCAATCGCTCTATAGATGTAACAACATTTACTGTTGAACGCTTGCTAATTGAGTTTGCATAATAAGAAAATGAAGATCGATAGAGATTACATTGTAATTATCAGCTATCGTAAACCGATTGCAAGATATGTAATTAACCTGCGAGTTGCTTGTACGAGATATGTCTAAATTGTGGTAAAACAGTGAAACATCATACTCTAAACGGGTGCAATCTGTCTTCTTAATATTACTGCAGGTATGAAGTACAGAAGGCGAAGTTGTTGGACCAGATGAAATACTAGTAGAAGTATGGAAGTTATTGGGAGAATATGGGCAAGTGGCTGACTTTATTTTTCAATAAGTTGTTGCACAAATTGACGATCTCTAACAAATAGTGCATTAGTTATTTAGTGTCCATCTTTAAAAATAAGGGTGAAGTGCAAGACTGAAATAATTATCGGGGAATAAGGTTCATGTATCACAGTATTAAAGTTTGGGAGAAAGTTATAGGGAAGTGATTGCGAGAAGAGCTAAATGCCTCAAAACCAGTTCGGTTTATGCCAGGTTAGAGTATCATAGATGTCATATTTTCACTGTGTCAGTTATGTGAAAAGTACAAAGGTACTTATCATCATCAAAGTACATCGCATAGTTTTGGGATGAGCTCTAAAAAAAATGTGTACCTGTGAAGTATGTAGAGTTAATTCGAGCAATTAATTTCGTACATATATTCGATCGGCGGCTGGCAACATTAACGACTTTAATGTGGCCGTGGGTTTTCACCAAGTATCGATGTTAAGCCTTTACCTCTTCTTGCTTGGAAATCGAATTTATAGGAGGAGACCCCTTGGTGTAAACTGTTTGGCTACAACATTATTCTTGTCGGTGAGGATGGAGCTGAGATCCAAAGAAGACTGGTAGAGTGGCAACAAAGTCTAGAGAGATTTGGCTTGAAAATTAGCAGAAATAAAACTGAACACATGTTCTGCGATTTTGGCGGTCTCTTTAGTCTCTAGTCGTGAAGCTTGACGATGTTACTATACCAGTCTGCGTCCGTTTCTGGTACCTAGCTTTACACTTACAATGCGATGATGAATTATACCGAACAGTAAAGCACTAAATTAACTCATAATTTCTCTTAAAGTTAAAGGGAAAAAATTACAACAGCATAATCCAACCTGCTGTCTTTACGGATTGGAGTGTTGACCAACAAAGGTGATCGATGAAAAGCGATTGCATATAGCTGAGATACGAATGTAAAGATGGATGTGTGGCGTGACAAGAATGGACAAAATTAAGAATGAGTATAACAGAGGAAGTATTAGAATAGCGCTAGTGAAAAGTTAAGAAGTAACTGTCTGTTTTGCTATGGACACGTTATGCGCATGGATGAGGAGCATGTTTTTAGAAAGGTTTTTAGTATGAATGTGGATGTCTATAAGGGCAGAGAGAAAAGACATGGATGGACTGTGTGAATGCGGAAATGCCTGTGAATAGAGAAGAATGGAAGGGAAAAACATATTATGCCAACTGCAAATAATAATTAGAATAAGGGTAGGAAGATGATTATGCGGCTGATTGTATCTATATATTATATAAAATCTTGTTGTTTTTAATATTTTATTAGATATAGAAAATTGATTATAAACCATTGTAAATAACTCGTATTATATATACGATTTGTGATAATTATTGTGAGCAATAAAGTTTGTTAATTACTTTGTTAATGATTTTAACTGAGCAGTTGTCGAGTTGTGTATTCTTCTCGCCGTGTAAATACATTACAAATCCACATTTTAGAAATATTTGTGATTAGATTAGTTTAAGATAAAGATTATTCTTATTCTTGTTTAATTGGTCGTCAGGAGGAAACATTGTTTTTTATCGAACCAGAAAGGTAAAAAAGTATATGGTCCGTTTAATGATGGGCGGCCTCTAAAGTTTGCTTGATAATTTTGTCTAGTTGCTGTAGCAATGTTATATATATTATTTTATTGTCAAGATTGTGCAATATTAAGAAAACTACAGTTTATGTGGTGTTAAAATATTGTCTGATTTTTTTTTATATTGAATAAATAAAATATTATGCTTATTATACTACTTATATACCCTACATGCATTATTATTGTTAGTAATTGTACCGTTTTTTTGTCATTAGATTATTATTTACTAGATTTTACAATCAATTTTGTCCACATAACTGGGATAAAAAGTGTATTCCATATCCTTCGCCATCCTATATATATGTATATCAAATTTCATAGGAATAGGTTAAACCGTTTAGGCGTTATAAGGTAACAAACAATCACATTCGTAATATTAGAAACAAAAAATAAATTTATTATTATTTTATTTCTCTCCTCTTGAACTGATGTCACCTGCTCATTATCACTTAAAGATTTAGAAAAAGAACACTTTAATAATAATATTTTTTTATCGTTTGATTGTCTCAAATAACATGATTTCTTTGCTGAGTGATGTTAAAAAAAACAGTAATTGCTAATTTCTACTCGTTCACGCACTCTAATACATACAGTAAAAAGGAAGCTTTAGGAATAGTTTTATTCCATAATCCGACAAGTGAATATGCGATCGGTGCGGTTGACATGAAGACCTAGGCGGGGCTTAACTCCGAGTACTGAGTGTTAGGTCAATGGCCCGTCATAGGTTAGGCTACAGTTCAGGCGAAACTACTCCGTTTGGATTTTCTTTTTAAAATAAATTTTAACTGATATATAAGTTAGTATATTAGAAATAAACTTTGAATGTTCTCTAACTATTAAATGGTTTTTATGTAATAAGTATATACTAGAACTACTACATTCTACAAAGAATATACTGTGATTAAACAGACTGAAGGATCCGATTTCTTCTATAATAAAATATAATGAAAACTTGAGTAGATACGCAACAAAGAACATTCAAATTAGAGGCGATTAAAAAAAGCCAATTATTTGTATTGACCCGAAAAAGAAATGAGTTTAAGAATGATACCCATTGCCATTTGAAACTCTACCTTTGAGAACTGGAGACACCTAACTTACACTCTTAATGTATGCAATATTGTTATATAGCTTTAGCACAGTAGTTATTTTTAGTGTTTTGGCAGGTACGTATTTGACGTATTACATATAATAAATTAAAGTAAATTGTTATGAACTTTTTTTAATTAATTGGGTACAAAGCTCAATAACAGTGCAAAAATAAAGAAAATTCGAAATAAAACCATATACCAACAGTAGTCTAATTGCAGTATAGGTAATGTATAGTATTATATTATCTGTGGTAATATTAATAGTTACTTATTGAAAGAGATTTAATTTTAGCAAAGGACAAATAATCGGTTGTACACCTAAAGGAATGTATAAAGGAATATGTTATTAATTATTTGTATGACAACGAATATCGAAAAAGATTAATGATTTTAAGTTACCCATTAGCTCTTTTACATTAATCGGACAGATTCTATAAAATGTATTATAATTGCGGGTAAAATAATATTTATTAAGATTCCCTTTATACTAATTATATTCATACTATTTCCTAGCTCGTTTTATTCAATTAATAATGATTTAATTATAATTGCTCGTAGTAAAATTATATCACAGGGACGATAACATTAATTTTAGAAACTTCTAGGAGTGTACTGTAAATTAATTGATTAAACTCATGAATGTAATTCAATTTAACAAAGTTTTATCACAGTCAATCTGTTGTTGAATCGGTTGAAGGGGAAAGTTATTCTAAAGATTGTTTGTAATTTAAGTAAGCGTTTCAAGAAAATTGTATAGTATATAGTCTGTGTTCAACGAAACGAGCGTCGCGTGTCTCGCGGCATAGCACCACGTCCATGGCAATATTTCCTGGATTTCATTTTCAATCGGCAGATAATATCCGGGCAACAGCGGGCAACGCGTCGCAACTTGCTCCAAATATAATTGGGGGAACGAAATAATCCAGATCAAAGATTTTCTTTAATTACAAGTTCTTCATTTAGCGGGCGGCGATTTATCACTTAAGAGGCGATTTCCTCAAAAGAGCTGTGGATTAATTAGAGAAAGATAAAATTTGTGAAATAGCCGGAGGCTTGCGAGTGCTCTGAACAGATAAGGGAGGCCCGATGTGGAGTAATGGATCTATTAGCGTGCTGGGCTGGGTAGCTGGCCGTCCTGTGCCCTGCGGAGACGCCCTCTTTTTGTTCACGCGAAAAATCACCGAATCGTGCTTATGAATCTTTCCTGTTCACTTTTTTGCCCCCAAGTAATTTGCCCGGATAATTTGTTTGTATAAAACATTTGATTCGATAAACTGTTTTGGATTCTCATCTGTGAATTCAAGGGATGTTTATCCCGAGAATTGAGCGCTGATTGGGCCTCCGTAAAATGAGTTGCGAATGAATTCCAAATAAATTATCTGACTTTCGTGCTGATTTATTTATTTTTTAAAGTAGGCCTATTAAATTTGGGGCGAGGATTGCATGTATCAACTTGTATTTTCATAATATAACGTATGCGAATAATGGGAAAGCCGTTAAATGAATAATTTCGTTTATATGATTTTTAGTTAATAATTCGATTAAAATAATTACTATCGAATAAGTGTTACTATTCCGTAGATGAGTATTTTAATGACAATAATAAATGAACGATGACAATTTTTAAGTAATAGTATTAGGTTATTGTATGTATTGATTATATGAAGTGAACGAAGTGGATAAATATAATTACAAAAGAAAAATAATTTGAATTGTATTGACTGTATTAACTGTAATTTTAATTTATAATTTTTGTAGTGTTTTATGTAATATCTATTTCATACAATGTATTTTGTGCTTTGGATAAATAAATAAATAAATATGAATCCCATGTAAGTAATTAAAAATGATATTCTGTTCGATACTGAATGTAATACTCGAAGTTTTTTAATATTTATAGTAGTAGGTAATAATAGTTTGTAATAAGATTTTTAAGAAATGTTAGTTAATAAAATAAAAAAATATCTAAAGTCATTGTTGTATTAAATATATTAAAGTTTGTGACTAAATTTACACGTTGTATAATTAGTTTCTTTTACGTAAGTTATTATAAAAAAAAATTAACATCTGAGAATGTAGACCTAATGCAAAAGTGTGCAGTGTATTTGTACATTAATTTTTGGTTTATTTTTAATATAAACAATAGAAAATTTTGAAATTATAAAAATATAGAAAAGAAAAACTACCTCTTGATTGTTAAAAAATGGAGATTTTGAATTATTTAGATTTCAATCTATCCGTTGTAAAAAGCAATTAATCATCCAATCAAATGTGTTTACAATTGGTAATATAATTTGATTATTACCTGACTTCAACCTCACTTATTAACCCTCACTATTACTTCGTCAGCGTAATGAAGGTAGGGTTGACATTTAATTTTAATTAATTCAAATTCAAAATTAAACTATAAAGCTTATTATAGTTTAATTTTAATTTGAATTAATAAAGGCATATTATATAATTATACTAATATAAATGAATACTATTTAACGGATAATGAACATACTTCAAATGTACCTAACTAAACTCTATAATTTTTATCTAACGTACAACATGGAAATTATGCAGGTGTTATTGGGAACCTTTGTTCCCTGTAAGAGACGAGGCAAATAATTTTTTAATATGGGATACACTATTATTGGTCATTTATTATTATTATTTATAATTGTTATTTTTTTATATTTGTTATACGTTTTTCTATTTAACGTTTTTAATACAATTTGAAATGGAAAAATAGAACAGTCGAGACAAGAGATGAACAGCGTCAGCGTATTGACGTCAAAAATATTCTGTGGTGTATATAATACTTTTGATGCATTGCCATTTCTAAGGACTATGTAGTGACACCTCCACATTCTGTAATTTCACTGCCATATCCCACCCTTCAATTAGAAACACCCATGCAAGCGCAGCTGTTTCACGGCAAAAACACGAGAGGTCAGAGATATTCGACGTGTTCGTACCTAGATGCATATGACTATTATACAAAGTCTCCCTCTGGTAATTATATGCTCTTCATGTCTGTTTAATACTATATCTATAATAATAAAATTACTTCACATAATGAGAATTATTATGTATATAATAATTTAAAAATCAGAACATTTTCTTACCGGATTTGAAGGTGACCTCGCTGATTAATATCCACTCGTGTTGGAATTTCAGTTTCAACATGATATGTTTTGCAGTTCTGTTCTGTAGATCTATGCGAATAGTCCGTGCGTGTTCTGATACTCTGTCTTGTTTTGGCTCATGTGAAATATAATCTTCTTGCCAACGTTCCCCTTCCAATGAAAAATACACCTCTGCTTCTTTGAACAGCTAAGTAAGATTATAACAATATATATATATTATAACAATTTACTCTAATAAAATAATTCGGTGTTACAAAAGAATAATTATGAGTAACTAATTTTAAATTTAATTAAAGAAAAAATTTAATTTTATAAAAGAAAATAAATAGGAATGATAACAAGTTACAAGAAGAAATGAAAATAAATATATATTTTTAGCACGATGTCATCGTAACACTAAAAATATCCTTAGATTATTATAGATAGAAAGTAAAATTTATTGATACTAAACATTTCGTCGAACATATTAGAATCCAACTTGGTAACGACAATGGGCGAGCCTGCTGCTGCTTATTCAAGTTAATTTGGTGTGTTATCGACGTGTTACGTCACGGGAAAGTTGAAAATAAAAAAAAAAAGTAAAACTAAATATATGTAAAATTATATTTGGGCATTTAGATATTATAAAAAGTACCTGCACGTCTTTAGTAAACATGTTGTTTGTATGTATGTCAACATAATGGAATAGTCTAGTGCCGGTGAAGTTAAATGTGAGTTCTACTTCGTCATCAATCACCATTGATTTATTCCAGCCGACCCAGCGTGTGCCTGCAATCGTCATTGTATTAGAAATAAGTTGCTAATATTATAATAGTAAGTAACTATATTTTATTATATTATATTTGTATAATATTGTATGTAGAAATTAAATATAAGGTACAGGAGGTCAATGTAAGAATGTTTTACGAAAACTACACTAAATTGTGTATTAAATTACATATTCATCACCATCATCTCAGCCATTTTCTGTCTACTGCTGAACATAGCCTCCCCCATAGACTGCCATAAGGAACGGTTCTGAGCCACCTATATTTTTTTATACCTTTGTGGTTGCAAACAAGCATACGGCCCATCTGATGGTAAGTGGTTACCGTAGCCTATAAACACCTGCAATACCAGAGATATTACGCGTGCGTTGCCGATCCTGAAGAAACCTCTTTACCCCTTTTGAAGAACCCCATGCTGTAGGCTCTTGGGAAAACCCCGGCAGGGAGCTCATTCCACAACCTGAGTGTTCGTGGGAGGAAACATCTCTGAAAGCCATTGGTTTCCTGCAATGCATTTAAGATCTTCACTCCATTTAGTAGGGAGATCGTCCTACACTGCGATTGCCCGTACTGGGTCGCCAATTTAGCTTATCCTTCGGCCTATGTCGATCACTTTGATTCTTTTGCGGATATCTTTATTTCGGATTTAGTCATGCAAAGAATCTCCGAGCATAGTTCTCTTCATAGCAATTGCATACGAACAATCGTGTAGGATCATGTTTTGGTTCCATAAGTCATCACTGCCAACACGCACTGGTTAAAGACATTCGTTTTCAAACTTCAAGGTATTCTGAATGAAAAGATGTGGCGTAATTTTCAGAATTAATTAAGTTATAAATTGGTATAAGGTTCTTTAATATACATCATTTTGAAGCTGAGTTTTATGAGTTATTTATTCATAATTTCTCTCTTGAGAGAGAGAGAGAAACGGGGTCAACAAAATGTGGCACAGTGTGTCACAAGGGGGAGTCATAAGCTTCGTGATATCGTATGTGAACATCTTCAAAAAACGTGAAATTAGTGGTTGTATCGGTAGATAATCCGTAACATATTTTTAAACTTACGTGAATAAAATCATGAAGAGGCTTAGAACCTACCTATATAAATTGCTATTCATTAGTTGGTCTGATTTGATTTATAAAATATTATATTAACCTCTTGTGTCTGAAGGATCAGGTAACTCAAAATCGTTGGGTCCAGTTAATGAATCTGACATCTGACCTAGACCATCAGAAAGCTTGGCATCGCGCAACACTCCGTCGTACGAGAGATCCTCGAACTTAGCGCCACCGGTCATAGCTTGCATGTCTCCTCCCTTTGGTGCCGCATATGCCGCGAGTCCCTCTGTAGAAACGTAAATATGTAAATAAACCGCCAGTGGCGGCTAATTGCTCTGCAAACAACGATTATTACATTTACATATTAAAATAATAGAGCATTCGCTGTAGCAGTTTCGCATTGCAATTGTCCCGGGACGACGCTAGCTATAAACCTCATCCCTGTTGTACCTACGTTTCCAACGGCATCCATAGAGCTCGACCCTCATGCATGCTGTTCTGGGATGGGCTGCGTATGGAAAGAAGCGAACTTTTGACGCTATAAATGGTGCTTCCAATGTTGTTTTTCTCGCTGTATAAGTGTTTACATTTCCAGGTATCAGCTGAAAGAATAAATAATATTAAATTATATAATAAATGCAGAAAAATGTAGACACCGACGATTTTTCGATTAGTCTAATAAAATACAGTTATTTCAAAATGTTTTTTTTTTAATATATTGTTGTGGCTAACAAAACATGAATTATATAGAATGCTCACATATTTTTTCTTAAATTACAAAACAAAATTTGGGTCATGGTTATTATTTTTGTGAAATACCATTACCAATAAGGAAAAAAAAAAACTTATATAAATACTTAAATGATTTTCTATTGACAATGAAAATGTGACGTTCATTGTAGTTCAAACAAAACACCTTTCAAATGTTCTGCATTGATAAATAACAATGTGTATGGGCCTAATTACTTTTAGAAAAGAAAAATATTGTGTTAACTCAAACTTTAGCGTATTCTATTCATAATCTTGATAAAACCTTATAATGCTCGTCAATCACGTCCCGTTCTTAGTATTGTGTTACTATTGTATAATATTATGATAGGCAAAGTTTTCTAAAAGAACTTCTATTTGAATTTATATTTAAGTCACATATAAATACAAGTATGTATCAGCTGTCGTTCTGACATTTATTATTATTCGCAGTGGGACTAATTTTCAGTAACTCGAGATCTGAGTTATTAAAACCGTTTCTATATTTTTTCTGGGAATCGATTAAATGATACTTTTTTGTATGATTTATTTTATAGGTTTTCATAGCGCAGCACATATCATAATTATCTTCAAATCCCTTGCGGGGTAGACAAAAATATAAAAAAAAAATATATAGTTAGCACTAGAAATTTCAGTTTTATTTTTCAGTGTTCTGTATCAAAAAACTACAAAGGAGCTCTTATAGTGTGACTTTGTCTGTATGCCCGTCTGTCACAGCGTTATCCATTAGAAGTTGGAATGTTATCTATTGGAGAAATAATTTTATGAATTGTTGGCCCACACATATTGCGATAGAAATAAATAAAAAACAAATTTTTATTATTTTTGTTAGCGGGTCCAAAAGGGGTACTTCAAATTACAAAATTGACCTAGTGGTATATTCGTAGGCTGTGTATAATATAAAAACATTATTATTAAATTTTTATTTATTTTCATGCTGCTTAGTTTTTTATTTGTATAGAGAGATGTGAGAAAAGAAACCAACAATCCCCTTATCTATAAAGTTTATGAAGTGGGAAATCTGAAATAATTACAGTTTATAAAGATAAATGTAAATATGCCAAAAAAAAAGTGTTTAAGTAGCACCATTTTCGAAAAATTATCAAAGAACCTCCTGAAACAAACTTAGTTATATGGTCCAGTTTTTAACCATAAATATGGCCCAAAATAAGAAAGTACGAATTGTAGTCTTAATAATAAAACTATATATATACAATATATACTATAGTCATCTGGTCTATTTCGTGTGATAAATGCAATAAAAATATATATCATATTTACACGTTTATATATGAAACCTTCGGTGTGTGAATTCGACTCGCATCTAACGGGCTTAATTTTATATTATGAATTTATTGCATTTGGAAAGCAGTATCAGCGGTCAACAATGAACAGTTAACTTAGCTATTAAAGTGTGCTCGATTAAAACAAAAGTATAAAAGCAAATACAGTTAGTTTGCAATACACACTGCACAATACATTTATAAACCATTTATTATGCGAGGTCTAAAATTTAATAATACATACCCTGCTTCCATTATAGTCCTTATATTTAACCCAGCGACTGAGCGAGGCCCGCCAATATTCGACTGAGTAGCTTTCCACAAACTCAACACCTACTGAATTGGCGAACCTTCCCTGGGACTCTGTGGCGGTGATCAAATATTCATCGTGAAGATCAATCTCCAAATACTGCCGGCTTCGTGGTGATATAAGACCATTGGGACACCATGCTCCTCCTCGTATTTCGGTTCGGATTCTATTGGAAATAAACGATTAATTCAAGATTATATACTACATAAATAATATACTTCAATATTTCAATTTTTTTTTAAGGTAATTAGAACAAACAAACAAACAAGCTGGTAGTCTACTAGTTGGAAAGTAGTAATCGTCACCACATGAACTTATTTATTATAGAGATTATAAAATATTCTGAGATAGTTATGGTACCTCTTATGCATTGCCATTAATAAATACTATGTTGTCATTTCACTGTCATATCCCTCCAAATTGACTGAATTTTATTGTAGTATATATTTTAAAATATATATAATTTATAATTACAATATAATTACAAGATCGTAATGTTAAGATGAATAAAAAATAAATTATTAAATTGAAGACATAAATGGATGAAGATGATATGTCGTATTTTTGGATTTTCGTTATTTTATGAATGATGTTAGGAGGTGCCATGTGCATTCTAACATAACTTGTACTTACACTCAATTACCTATAGTTGTTAATATGCACATAATCCTCCGTCTACTTGTATGCATCCGAAAAGGCGATATATTCTCTTCATCCATTAATGTCTTCAATTATTTTTATGTTTTTTTTTATGCAACCTAGAATGGCGAACAAGCAGGCGGCCTACCTGATGGAAAGTGGTAACCGTCAACTATATACATGAGCAGTACCATGAACATAACAGAGTATACTGTTTCACCCATGATACCCCCATACGTTGCCATTCCAGACGACTCAGGTGTTATTCTTTTGTACCCTGTAAATTCACTGCCACATCCCACCCTTCAAACTGAAACACAGCCATGCAAACACAACTGCTTCACAGTAGAAACACGAATGTACTCAAGCAAACGACTGTACTGTACAAAGCTTCCCTCTGGTAAAGTTCTTAATAAATGTTGCATAATTAATTAATTTTTAGGTGTTTTATATTGAATTCGTATTAAAAAGGTACTGTTTAGAGTATTATACTGTGGGATAGGTAAATGAACACAAATAAATTGTATTGTAATAATCTAATTTGTATGGCCAGTGTATTTCAAAATACTATTATGATAAATGAGAGCGGACGTTTGTTTTAGTAAAATGAATGGCAAAATTAAAGCAGGAAATCAAGCAGCGTTTAATGGACAAGCACAATACCTCTCAAAATAAAGAGGACAACGTTGACGGAAATCAAAACTTGGACGGCGAAATATAATCTCCACGAACATTGGGTGCAATGTTGCCTTTATTAATTTTGTTATGTTCTGACCGATCTAACAATATTTATTACCTACTTCATTTTTAGCCGCTACGTCGTACGCGTGAATTTCAAGAGTTTCCTTTTCTTGAACTAGTGGCCGAGATCTCTAGAAACACTATTGTGAAAACTATATCCAGTTTGGTGCAGTAATTTTTACGTGATTCCGGAACAAACATATAAAGAGGCAGGCAAAATTTGTGGAAAACAATCTTTTAGCTTCTCGTATAATTTTTTTCTTAAATATCGTCGATGTTCTATTCATAATTATAATTTTATTATATTAGTAAGCTATACTAGCAGTTTCTTGCAATTTACTTGCTCCTTTTGCATGGGTCTTCCTTAAATTACCAATATTCTAAATCACTTTAGCCGATTCAAGGATCTACTATATTAAAGATTTTGTCCCACAAAAGAACCGACTCCAATCGTAATAAAATTAGTTATTTTAGTCTAAAAATTAAATTACTTAACCGATTTTGACAAAATTTCTATGGAACCAATCTGTAAAAATATTCTTTCAGATAAAAAAGAAACAACCTTCATTTTGAAGTGGGTTAAAAATATAGGAAAGTTCATAAACATACGAATCGTAAAAATTTCTGAAACAATATTGATATACGTCGTGCAATATTCTTTTACGGTATATTTTTTTATTCTCCAAATAAGATATACAAACACGTAAAATACACATTTCATTTTATGTATATATACATTTGTTATAACAAAACACTTCCTAACATTTTATAATTTCCAAAATTAATTTTTCATTATTGAACATAAAATAAATTTAATTTTAGGAAAAAGAATTAATATACATAAATATATGATTTAAAGAAAAATATGGTCTCTGTTGAAGTCTGTTTTGGGCCTGGACTACAGATTGTAGGTAGCTTGATGCTTTATGCAGCAACACAATTTGAGGTGACAATATTTTATTTTACTACATTTCTAGTGCACCTACGTTGTTTGGTGAAGTTTATGAGGTGTCCCTTGAAATACTAGAGTGCATTTACATTTATAGCGGCTGCAACGGCGACTAAGTCAACTTTAGTATCTATATGTTTACATTTTCTAACGTCAGCTTAAGACACGTTTGCGCATAAGCAAATAAAATTAGCTTTATAGTCTTGGTAAATAGTCTAAAATGTTTCGGTGTTACGTTTGTCAACAGAGGTGGGGTTTAGTCTGTCGCGACCATTTAATTTGAATATCTATACTGCGATCTCATCAGTAGGTACAGCGGGAACAAAGAGCGCTAAACGCTGAATTAACGTAGCATTAGCAAAATCGCCTCTGACCCTATGTAAAGTGGCTCTGTTGATAAGGCTTTGGCACATCCGTCCGTACTTACATCTTGTTATCTTTGGGGAGTCAAGCCTCGAAAGGCTTTTGTAGGATCACGGCCGCTCCGAATTCATATGAAAATTTAATTTTCTGTTAGTGAATTTCTCAAACGGGAGTTGAGTTTTCGTGCTATTGTCTCGCGCCGGGCTTATGCGGGCTTAAGGACCGAATGTGAGACCCTCTGTTAATTGTTTGAGTTAAGTATGAGCGTTTTGCGGTTACAGGATTCACAATTATTGTAACAACTTGGCCGTATCATACCAGTTTATTGTTGTTTAACAATAGGCAGATAAAGGCATTATGTATCGATTTCATGGTTATTTGCTTTGAATTTGTAAAATAGGTATTTAATTTACAAACAAATATATAAGTACATTCAATGACCTGTATACACCGTTTATAGGAAAAGTACAATTGTGTTTGTTAATTGAATGTTTATTGATACACAGTACAGCTTCTTGGGAAACAAGAATTGATTTTGCATAAAAGGAAATAATTTGGACGGTATAAAAATACGAGTAGGTAATAATTGTTTTAATATATGTAGATGGGTACATAAGGCTAATTAATGGCATTTAATACAATGATGCAAAGAACGTGACGAAATCTTAATAATAACAAAGATACAGAACGTGTAAAAAGCGACAATTATCTAAATCTTTTAATTACAAATGACTGAATTCTAATTAAAAATGATAATACTTTGTGAAAAATAGTGCCAAAAGTAATATATTATTTAGACTTCAAGTATCAAATATGAGTTTCCCTTAATATTATCTTTTTATACTGGTTCAATTCAATTTATTTACTTTTGTATTGATAATTAGATCTATTTGCACAATTATTTAACGATTATTTTATTATGTTACAAAATTTTATTAATCAATCAATAAATATTATCAGATGATGTTGTAGTTAATAGTTTTCAATCAATATTAAATAAAAATAGTCTAAAGTCCACCCAATGGATTGGACTGGACCCAATTAGTCCATTTTCACATTATAATTACAGTACGCTGAATTGTTGAATTGAGTACAATTCAAGTATTTCTAAAACTATAAGATATACAAGAACTAATAATTTTTCAACAAAATTACTTAATCAGTTAGCATTTTTAATTATTACATAATAATAACGCTACAATTTTAGGAAAAAATTTATACAATTCTTTTGGCTCTTCTGAAACGTAGCGATTTTGAATTTTAGCGTTCCTTATCAGAGCCACAGAAATTTTGTTATTGTTTTATCAATGGAAGTAATCGGCTAAAAGTTATTTTTTTAAGTATCTCTGTTCCATTCGTGTTTCGTTCACTATGAACTGTGATTGTTTGGCTGTGTAACGGTGAAAAGTCCCCACTTTACAGTTTCACTATATTACAATTTCACTATAGCAGTGAAATTATAGAGTAAGATAGCATAATATCGAACAGCAATACATAAGGCGTAATATGTGCGTTACAGTATTGTTCTATGATATTCATCGGGATGTTCATATTTATACCTAGGCGACGGTTACTTTATTCCTGCATGTATGTCATCAGATTGTTGCTATTTCAAGTTGCATACAAAAATATATTAAGATATTATGCAGTGCACGGAATATTTTAATAGAATAACTGAATTACGTATTTTACCTGGAGCTAAGTGGGGAGACGCTTTGGTCGTAACTGGAACTTGACGACAGGGACTCGTTCGATATCATGCCGCTTTCCATGCCTAAAGGCACTTCGCAGGTACCCACGTCAGCTGCAACAAATTTTATACATGTTCATTATTTATGAACGATTTAACCTAAGCTCGTTACAATATAAAATTTACTAAGCTACCTAGTCGGATAAGCGTTTTTAAAATCATAAAGACAGAATAATCACAGAGAAATTTGGAGTTAGCGGGCAGATTTTAACCCCAGATTTAACTTGCAACTTCATTCGCGGTACCCAGTTATAAATGGGTAGTAAAAAATAGTCTATGTCCTTCTTTATGAGTTACTTTAAAACCACTGAACTGTGAGGAAGGACATAGGCTACTTATTTTACGAAAAACGACGGAAATGCGGACGAAGTTGCTGGGAACAGCTAGTATCTTCATATACTTGTATATTTTTACAGCATTTTCGTTATAAATATATAATTATCTACATCATCATCATCATCCTATTAGCCCTTAATTGTCCACAAGTTACGTCCGTTACGTTCTTAAACGTAAACATAAGCCTCTCCCTTAGGGGGGTTTGCCGGTAGTTGCCACACTTGGCAGGTGGATTGGCAACCACAGTTAGGTTTTATAGATGTTTTAAGAGAGACGCTGTTGCCCATTCCTCACTGTCCTTTAGTCGCCTTTTACGACATCAACGGAAAAGGAAAAGTTTGCTTATTCTATGCCGGGACCACATGGCTAATTATCTATATAGCGGAGTCCAATCATTAATCTAAGGTATATAAGGTATTTAGGGTGGAAAAGGACGTTAAAAGACTACATTTAATATCGGTCAATCAACATATCTCGAGTATGCAGATATTTGAATATTTGACATTTATTTACGCATAAAAAATATATGTCGTGGAAAATAATTTATAAAGTAATATTATAAGTAAACAAGTAGACAATGGGACACCACCCCCCCTTTGGGGGAGGTCTATTTTAGGCAGTGGACAGCTAACGTCTGATATAATAATAAAAAATAATAAAGTAGACAATCGGTTAGCATTGTTCTTTTAACGATTTAATTTAAAACTGTCCAAAACAGCGTTGTGTAAATTTAAAAATTCCTTTTATATCTCCCAAAAATGTACCTATTTTTTTAAATATTTTTAAGGTAAAACATTCGGGAATATTGCAGACTTGATGCTGTATTTGAAAGTAATAATAATTACATTATTAATTATAATAAATGCAAAGGCTATTTTAAATGTGGTGCCGGAATAAGATTATAAGGCGTCATCACTCTTTTCATTCATAGAATGTTGTAAGAGTCAATTAGAGCAAACGAATACTATTACTCGAACATTAAACTAATTGGAGAGAGAGATAAATCGAAATGGAACTGTACAGATGTAGTTACCTGGTCAGCCAGAGTGCTTATAGTAGGCTAATAAATGTACCTACTTCTATGTCTAGAAATGGGTCTATAGTGAGTTATTATGATTATAAGAATGACATTGTTCAGCATTATACGCGTGCCATTTTCTATTATCATATTTGCAAAAAAGTGTATGACTAAATTATATATTTTTTTTACCAAGGTGAAAAGTCATAAAGGAGGAATTATTTTAAATTTAATTATTTAAAATTAATTTCAATTTTGTATTAAAGAAAATTATATCTGAAATTTTAGAAATTACATTAAATTTAGTTTTATTAATAAAGGTTGTATGAATACATTTATCTAAGTTGATAATACTTTAAATTTTATCTGTAGCAAATTATCATAAGAAATAAAATTCGATAAGATTTGTTCAATTTAAAGGATGTTTAAAAAACACAGATCGAGATTTAGAAAATCAATCGTTAATTATCGAATCGAGATTGGGAATTTTAAATTAATTTGAGAATCGACATCATTGTGAAAGCGCGGAGTAAAACACAACGAAGACTTTAGAAATATTTAGTGTTTATTTTCCAGTCTGAACTCATATAATATCAATTTCTACGCTATGTGCAGTCTGAAGATTTAGTAGAATATTATTTTGATTTAAATAAATGATGCATAAAATAGGTTTCATATATAAAAAGATGATTGTATTCTATATACGAACTTTAGGTAAATATATAAAATAAATATTAAATACAAGATAATGAATGAGACGGGTGGAAAGTGAGTACGTAACTTCAATACTAATTTCATGAAACTTTTTCCTTTTACCCTCAATTACGTAGTTTGGAGTATGTACGCCACAGGGCAAAGTTACAAAGCGGGTATAATACATCCACTTTGTATATGCGTTGTGGTATGTACAGTGCGTAGGTGAGAGGGCGGCGGGGGCCGACAGGCAAGAGTCCCAAATTTTTGTTTATTTTCCTGCTTTTAATAAAACGAAAATACAATACACGACGTCGGTGAGGCACAAAGGGAAAAATTCAAATTCGGTTTTGCGGGCGGCATTATTTTAACATACGTATGTTTATTTTTCGTTACCTCCCTACTTCCTTTTGTGTAATCGTATTTCGAGATTCTTCTTGGTAAAAAACGTTATTTATCTGCATTATTTGCTCGGCGAACATGTTCGGACGGATACTTTAACGTTGTTGTATTATTTTTCTTTGATGTGTATTTTTTCTTGTTTATTCTCATACTGTAAGTAATTTAATGGTTTTCTTTTGCTTTGAGGTTGGAGGGTTATTGATTTATGTATGTAGCTACATATATGAAGTTAGTATATTTTGAATGTAGAGTGGTCAATAGGACTGTCAGGTATCGCTTCATCGTTCCATATATATTTGCTTGAACGCGCATCACTGTGGTTCATTCGATCCGCTATGACACTTCTGTCACTGCCTTGTATCGAATTGAAACACGTCAGTTTTCCACATCAATAACAAGGTTCGTACTTGTGGGGACTATATAACTTTTAAAATCTTTTTCGTTGGTTAATGACAATGTAATAGAGCGTTGGGTGAATGTTAAAGTGTCACATGAAACACAGGAATAAATTCAGAGCTTCAGCAACAGATGCGGTCGCGTGACGGCAGTCTTAATCTTACAAGCATCTATGTGAGGGATGCGCCACCTAATCCAGAGTACCACGGCGACATGTGATAAATTACGCAAGAACAAATTACGTGAAACTGGCGCGAGAAAAACAAACAATTTATTACGAAGACAAATTAGCCGCGAGACCGCTGTCGCGAGGTGATTTTAATTATAACATGATAATACCCTCCGTGCCTGTACCTGCTTCATTTGTTTATGTAGGTATATACATATATATAGGTATGTACAACTAAGTAGGCAGACTACTTAGTTACAGGCGTTGCTGTATACTTTGTTACATAATATAATGAATTACTTAATTATCCAACAAATGAAAAGTTTAAAACAATTTTATTTGTCAGAATTATTTATAGCGGCGATATTTTGTACGTTTATTCGTATATTCTTAATTGATATCCATAAATAAATAGATATGCTTCGTAAATCGAGATTGCAGATTCGATTCACTGTTGGACAAATTTAGAATGGGAGGTACGTAGTAGGTACATACCTTCATTTATAAATCGGCTTGAGTGCTTTGGGCTGTGCTTTCAATATCGGTCTAGCTTTCTGTCTGGGTTTTAGAGACAAGACAGAAATTCAAATATCATAAATACAAATGTTTGTACTCTGTGAAAATCGAACCCACTATCATCTGAAAATGAGGCAGTGTTTTATGTCGATAAGCAAATACAGAAAATTCTACCAAAAAATGACATACCTATTAGAAACCTGCTTATGCTGCAAACCATTGAACTGAATTTTATCACAATTCCTTCACTGTTTCTAGCGTTAAGTGGAATTAATTATCTGTTGTTATTAGAAGTGTAAAATCCACTGATGCTTTCAAGCGACAAGTGAAAGATTATCTTCTCTCTATCTAATTGGTTCTTCATTTCATTCTTTATTTTTGTAGTTATATGATTATATATTTTATATTAATTTATTTCTTTCGTACCTGTAATTATATATATTTGTTCTAATATTAGGTACATATTTATATATTGTAAATTACTTTTTAAATTTTATAATAGGTACTTGTAATAATTTTCCTTAATCTTTTATTTTCTTAATTATACAATATTATAATGCCTACTTGTTCAACAATTAGTCCATTACCCTAAGGTTGTCTTGAAAAATTTTGCTTTCAGCAATAAGACCGCCTTGCTGTACTTCTACAACTGTATCGTTACGTTTATTAATTGTCTTGCTTATTTCAAATAAAGTATACTCATTCATTCATTCATTAACTGTTAGGTCATTAAGAGGTAACAAACAAATGTACTTTCATATACCAAAATAGAAAATCTAGACAAGAATATCCTTAGATGATTATGGTATAATTTTACTTATATAAAAAATATTTGAATCAAACAGCTATTTATTTCAGTACAAGGTAATTTCGGTTTCTATGGGCCTAATGTACTTAAAGTTACACTGTAACTATCTCGCTGTAAACATATTATGATATTATGGCTACAAATTAATCAGTAATAATAAAAAGATTGAATGGACTTAATGAACTCTAGTGAAGATATACTCGTATTTACTTGGTGAAATCGCCCTTGACAACACATAATTTATTTTGTAGAAACGTGTAAGTAACCACCACAGTTTATCCTTGTTTGATCTTGCTTGATATAGAACTTTATATAAGTATGTAAATATATTATAATATAAGAAAACTTACCTATTTTAAAATAAAACTGAGTAATTAAAATTTACAACGATAACGGAGTAAGACAGGTATGCGACTCATATCTTTCTGTATACTATGTATATTAATATAGAAATAAATAAATGGTTTACAATTGCCTATCACCATAGCTAGTAACTTATGAGAAATCAGGTAACGTTGATTTAGAGTAAAAGAGAACACTCAAACCCGAAACAATCAGAAATATACGTGTCTTAAATTACGCTAACTTAGAATTACCGACGATCTTATTTACGTAAAGCAACTATATTTTTTATTGCGTCATCAAGTTTATAATAAAAATTATAGTTAGATTAATCTATGATTAAATAAAAAAAAACGAGTGAAAATTTAAAAAAA